TTTTAAATTTTACATTTTTATTTAATTATTTTTCAAATTTTTAAAAATATATATTTTTTTATTTTTTCGTAATTTTTTGATTTTTTTTTCATTTTCATTTCACTTATTTTTTATAATGTCACTTTAAAAGCAAAGGAAATATATCTGTGCAATAAAGACATTTTATAATTATAATTTAAATACAGAATTGAATTTTATTGTCACACACTGTCGAAGAACTACAGAGTTACTGTTTGTGGAATTGCAGATTTTTGATGTGGACATTTTCCTTTAAAGCCAAAGCATAAATTAATAATTGTTTCTCATTTTTTATTCCTTAATAAACATAATTCTTCTTTCAAATAATGGCAAATATTTGTAAAATGGCAATATTGTTTGCTGATTTAGCGAAACAGGGAAAATCTGTAAATTAAGTTGTCAGAAAATTAGTCAAAAACCATCCAGGGTAGTTAAACATTATTATCTATGTGTAACTTCTGACAGAACATGACTGACTGACTGCCTTTACTTTCCTGTGATTCCCACGATGCACAGGCACTTAGAGGACTTCAACTTCACTCACCATACATACTTTAATGGTGATGTTGTTTTGTTGTTGCTCAAAAATAGGTCAAAAGTCCAGAGGTGTGCTAAAACCTTTTTGAAGAACACCCAGACTGGACAGTTAGTTTGCAACGGCAGAGTTTTCTGCACAGGACAGAATAGTTTCTCCTTGAGTTACTGGCACTGATCAACAACATTATAGAGATACGATCGAGGTCACATCGTACCGCTAGGAAGCAAACATTTCAGTTGTTGTCCGTTAAGGAACTTCACCGTTTGTTAAACCTCATGAGAATCAGTGTGACAGTATTTAGGGCAAAGCTGTTGTTTCTCTGGTGCATGTACAAATAAAACACAGAGCGAAATCTAATTCAGTCCAGCTTTTATTATACAGAACTGCTGCACACAGTAAGAAGAAAGTCAAGGTCGCGTGCAGTTCTGACAGAGAGCGACGAAACGAGGAATAAAATGCTGTTTGAGTTTGAATCAAACGGGCCACGGCTTGTAGTGACTGGTGTGTGTGACAGTCAACCCACATAGATATGCATGTTCAGGGGGGGTGTCGGTAAACAAACAGGGACGGACGAAGGACTTTTCTGACCCACTTAGATTGTATTTTATTACACAGTGGATCTACTCACACTGACCTTACAAGTTAGGAAGTAGTTTGAAGGAAAGATTGATAATGTCACACACAAGCTGTTCATTGGGTGGAAAGTAATTATTAAAGGGAGGATATTGGTTTAATCAATCGGAGCAGTGGGTGATTGGTGGATTAGTCTCAGGTGTGTCAGTAGAGAGAGTTAAGAAAGAGCTGCACACTTACCACTTATACCCAAATACACAGCAGTAAAAAGGAGCATGTTGAATAGAATCACTGTATATATATTTCTGTGTTTGGCTTTTCCATAAAGGCCCATCAACTCTGGAACACATCACCACCTGAAATCAAGTTAATTAGAGAAGAAAGCTTTCACAACAGGCTGAGGACCGGCTCAAAGCAAACTCCCTGTGCCCTAATATTTTGGCACATTGTTTTGCACTTTCAATCACTTTTCACTGCTTTTTAAGTATGTTTTCTGAGTAATATCTTTTGGCATTTAGAGGAAGTCACTCTCCAGTTGCACTGTTCAAATGAAAGACACACACTTCTTATATATGCTCCTTCTGTTGCACTCGGTTATTGCTATGCAAAAAGGTTTAATTGATTCATTTAGTGTGTTATATTTGGACAAATATCATCCAACAGCAACAACGAGTGCAGATATAAGGGAACACTGAAAAGAAAATCAAGACACATTTTTTCTTCTGTGCGTTATTCGTCTCAGATTTTTATAATTTTCCTCCAGATGAATTATTTGCATTTTGTCTAATACTCTTTTCTTTCCGTCAGTGCTGCTTCTTGAAGCTTCAGTAGCTTCTAGTCAAGCACGACCAGCCGCCTAAAGAAAGAAAGACAAGAGTAAGAACCAATCTGACCTGAGCTCTGACCACTAAACAACAAATAATAACCCAGAATACAAAGTTCGCTTTCTGTGTCTGTAGGTCGAGGGAGGAGTTCAACCTTCCCTCTGCTAATCCTACACGTGTGTGACAAAGGCCCTGCTGTACGTTGGTTATTTGTGACCCTTTCTCTTTCCTATGAATCTCACATGACCTTTCCTGATAGTGAGGTCACGGAAACTTGACCTGTGGAGGGTTCAGAGCTCACCGCCGGCAGAACAGACACATGAAACACACGCTCACATGTTATAGTTACACACCTGTTTCATTATTCTGTGGATAATAACAGCAGCAAGGAAGCAAATGAGATTAGTTACTGGGAACTTTATGCACCAAGGTTTTTAAATTTAGGGAAAGAGCGCCATCTGTTGGACTCGTTGCGTTACTGCAGCTTTTGGAACGTCTTTCTTTATTTTACAATGTACAGTCGTCCTCAAATGTATTCATCCTCTTCCATTAAAGAAAAGGCAAAATTCACAACAGTCACTCAAATAACTATAAACTGGAAAAAGTAATAATAAATAAAAATTTGCTAAATTATAATTTAGTGAAATAAGACGTTGCTTTTGAATTGTGGTTGAAAAGAATAATTCAAAAAAACAGAACAAAAACAAAACTGTCCCGGATAAATTAGAGCACTTTGCTGATGAGCAGTGAAATCAGAATACCTGTCAACAGGTGCAGACGTCTGACTGAGAGTTACAGAAACACCTGATGGCTGTGATTGGCTCAAAGGGTTATTCAACTAAATATTAGTTTACGGGTCCCATCATGCTTGCTTGCTTGTTTTTTGGTTGTTTTTTTTAATACTTTTAATACTAGCCACAATTCAAAAGCAATGTCATGATTTTCATTAACTTTTTAATTATTACTTTTGTCAGTTTCAACTTATTTCAGTGACAGCTGTTCTTTTCCTTCTTTAATGGGAGAATATGAATACATTTGAGGATGACTGTATTCAGGAATCTCTTAGAAAATAACTCCTTGCATAAAAGAAGAGTCTATTTATAACAGAGCTTTTTAAAAAACATTATTATTGTTCTGCCAGCCATATTTATGGTTAAAATTGCACACGAACTTTACATTTACTTTATTTGATCACCTTATCTCTCGTCTTTCTTTAGCACATCTTGGATCTCAGTTGTATCGGTTTATTTTATCATTTGCAATTTCAAAGTTTGCAAAAGCCATTTAAATTTTCTTTTTTTTTTTTTTTAAATACCTCTCATCCATGCTGAGATATTTTACTCGTAAATATCACCATGAAACTACCCCAGAAGGGGAATTTTTCAGAAAAAAATGCATGTTTAAATATGCAAATGAGGTATTTTATATTCAAGAATGCCCAAATTTGCAGAAATCTGAACATCACGTATGACCAAAACTGGAACATTTGGTGTATGTAAATGTGACTATAATGGAGATTTCTGGCTCAATATGTAAAAAAAAAAATCTTTTTGAGAAAACCGCGTGAAGCATAATCGAAATCTACAGACGCAAATACACCAAGTGCAGTAAAACAAATGCCTAAATGTGCATTTTTTTTCCCATTAGTGGAAGCAAAGTACCCAAAACCTCACAGTGCTGGTTTCCAGCTTCACTATACAACTGGGAAAACCATAAAAGCTCCAAGAAAATAGGCTTTAGAAAATATGCATCGTATTTTATTATTCATTTGCACTTATAATAAAAATTGCATTATTTTTCATTCCAACACTTGTTTTCTTTACCATGTAACAGTCACGCCACTTCTAAAGGTCATTTAGAAAAAGTAGCAGCCAGTAGCAGCACTTGAATCAAGTTTTCAGAGAGACCCCTCCCAGTATAAATATGTACAAACTGCAAAAGTTCAGATCATAAACAGCAAAAATGTAACGACACAAAGCCTTTACAGTTACATCCAACATGATCGACCCCTCGTCCATTAAAATTTTTTTCCTTTTTTTTTTTTTTAGCAGTTTTTCCTTTTTTAAGCTAATTTCCTACAAAGTGGCGCCATATCGTGCCAACATGCCATCCAGAAATGTTTCTTCTTACACACAAATAAAGGCTTTTTTTTTTTTGTGAAAACAGCTGCCCTGATGTGAAACACAGATCAGGTTTTAAAAGAGAATGATACAGGGGAAAAAAAAAAGAATACACAGACAGGCACAAGAAGGAAAATATTCATTAGATGACTGTGGTTTGAGGTCAAATAATGAAGATGGATTTTACATGTGCTCCTTCTGTTTAAATACTAGAGTTTGATTAGTTTTCTTGAAGGTGCCCCTGAGTTTTAGACACTTTAATCGAGTTAGTGTACCAGTTAAATCGCCGCTTAAGTTAGTGAAGCTTCCCTCAGGTGGTTTAAAATGTTTCCAAACTTACCAGCCCCCTCTGACTGGCACAATGACATGAAAGTGACTAATAATTTAGCAGCCAGTATATTCACCTACACAGTGCTTTCTGACACACAGGGTTACAGTACAATTATTCTACAATCATTAAACCATAAAGTCAGGACAGCCTCTCGTCTGCACAGCCCACAGTTCACATCCAGCAGCTGCCTTTTAAAGTGCTTCAACAGGGACTGAAGATCTGAAACCACAACAACCTCCTCCTTCCAGTCTGGGGCTCATTACGGTTAGCCGCTGAGCTGTAGATCAAACAAATGACCCCTAAAACTGTCTGCTTTAGTCTCTTTTTGTCGGTGCTAAGCATTTTCAAGTCATTCGGGCCTCTCTGGAGTCTTTAGCGACACGTGCAGGACTCAGCCACCATGTCCTCCAGCTCCCTGTACTCCACCTTCTTCTTTTGCACCACCAACACGCTCATGGGCATGTACTTATACGGCACGCAGGACGGGGGTGGAACGTCCCCGACGCCGAGTTCGTTGATGACCGTCTGGATGATGGCGTGATTGGGGGAGTGGTAGCCGTAGTGCAGCACCTTTGGGCAGTCGCCCTGGCAGAAGCGGGGGTTGTACACCGGCGGAGCGATGAAGTAGTGACCCCAGCCGAGCTCGTCGAACGACAGGCGGAACGAGTGGAGCTTGCAGCGGTTCTTGGGCATGCTGGTCTTGCGTTTGTAGGTGGGGATGTCAGGGATGATGGAAGCAGAGGGGGAGGTGGAGAAAGATGAGGAGGAGGATGGAGCATTTTTCAGAGCATCCAGTGAGGGATCTTTTGGCTCTGAAGGGGAGGAGTCTTTGGAGCGACGGTGGCGGCGAAGCGGAGGTTGCCACCGCCCAATTTGCCTCATGATGTTTTCTCCTTCAGCCCCAAGCAGCTCCCCCATCCAGTCCTTCACCTCCCTCTCCTCCTCCAGGTACAGAAGAAGAGAGGGCACTTCGAGGTGGGGTTCACCGCTCCACTGTTTCCTCCCTTGAAGATGAGTCCACCACCATGAGAGGCCGCTGTCCTCTTCAGCGAGCCCAGGTTCTGTGCACCAATACTGGGCAGTGAGGGTTAAATGCCTCCCTGCGCCCTGGTCCTTCCCCTGCTGGACGTGGCCGCTGACGTGTGCGGTGATGTCCGTCTCCGTCCACCTCTCGTGGGGCTCCAGGGTGACCAGGCTCTCGGCGCCCAGCGAGGTGATCTGAGCCCTGCAGCGGGGCGCCTCCACGGCCTGGGCGGTGCTGGAGGTGGTGGAGGCAGAGGAGGAAGAAGAGCGCAGGTGGATGAAGGAAGCTCTGACCAGCTGCTCCGAGGGAAGAGTGTCAAGGTTGTACTGTACTGTGAAGGCGTAGCAGTGGTCTGAGGAGGAGATGGAGGCAGAAAAGGACAGAGAAGGTTTAATTTCTCCAAATGCTGTACTTTACAGAAGAACAGGAGCCAAATCTCTCCAGTCATCAATTTGTACTGAGATCTGTCAGCCTAACATTCTTTAAATCTTTGTGGGAGTGTAAGCAGAGCAGTAACATCTAGTCCTGATGACTGGATGAAGAATTGCAATACAATTTTTACAAAATGTGCTTCAGTATCTCCAGAAAATGTTCCTCAACCTCCAGTGTGTCCTGGTCACAACATGCACTCACTGTGATCATATTGTCTTCCTTGTTTTTCCTGTTGAACCATATTCCAGACTCTCTGTTAATTGCAATTTTTCTGACAAGTAATCGTCAGTATTCACTGTATAGAAGATAGAAATCATGTGAGGGAGCATTAACATCTGAGATACCACCAACAGCATCAATGTCACACAACGAGGACAGCATGAATTTGTGAAACCACTGACAACAGTTTAACACACTGCAAAATGTACTGGTTGTAATCACACTGAGCTCATGTCAGTCTGCAGCCTGAATTATGTGTTCATGTTCATCAATGGACAGCATTAACTACCCCTGTGAGTTTTATTCTCCTCAAATTTACCAACACTGAAATACAGCAGTATTGTTGGTATTTAAGAGCCACACCTGGTGTATCCAAGTTGCAGCCAACCAGCCAACCAGAGACCCAAAGTGAACATGTTTTGTTATTTAAAGGCTCTTCTGTTGGCTGCATGACTACTATTTTATGTTGAGGGGTTTCAGAGGTCAGGAATTCATTTGGAATCGTTGTACTAAACATGGTAGATTATGTTAAGGAAGAATTTTTGGACCTGTGCGGCCAGCCATGCACACAAGGTTCGCCCACTGTCCAGATTAAACCCTCCCAGCCATGGTGTTTGATGCAGACACTTAAAAGATCAATAAATTGGCTCCTTCACCTCCTGACGCGGGCAGGTAGTGCACCGACGACGCCGAAGGTCTAAGCAGGCGCACCGTGTTGGAGCCGAACTTCCGGTGCTGCTTGGGTCTGCCATCCGGGCCGGCCGCGCTCTGGTACAAACTGAGCATGAACTGCAGGTTCTGGTCCGCTTTCTGCTCGTCCGTCAGCGGCCGGTGGTGCGCGCCTTTGAGCTTCGCGCTCTGGTGACTCCGACGGCTGCGCTTCAACGTGGGGTGATGAGAGGCCATTTTCCGCCCGGCTCCGACCCCGGTGCAGGTGGAACACAGCAGGAAGATAAAGCAGGACAGGGCGCAGACACGCAGTAAGAGGTGTGTGACGCGGGTCGCCCTCATGTTGGTGATAAAACCTCTGGTGCTAGCGAGCTCCACCTCCGAGGCTATAGTTGGCAACCATCCTCCGCGCGGCCGAGGGCGTGATTTACAGGCTCACCTGGTCGATGGCCATTTTGGACTTTACAATCAACTTCCTGGAGATCACGGCGACCCCAATTAACCCTTCGGACGCGCGTGAGCCACCAACGGGAGCGCAGGAAAGACACGTGAGCTGTGCGTAACTGTGCGTAAAGGTGCGTAAAAGCGACAACACGCTTTTATGATGTAAATCCACAGGTTGACCTGCTTTCTTCACGTCACCTTGTTATTAAATAATTTACATGTAGGCCAGTTAGTATGTTTTGCCTTTTAAAATGTTGACATTGTGCCACTGTTTGCAGCATCATTGCATGTAAACTGTGCTTAATGAATATTTTGCACATTTAAAATACTGGATACAACATCAACATACATGTAGAAGAATATTCAATATCAATTGTATTTTTAATATCAGTATTTTGTACTTATGGAAGAGTCTGCTGTTTTTTTTTTTTTTTCATGTAGTATAAACTTATAGTATAAACAACATTATCAAATATAATTTCTCTTGTTGATTTGTTTTGCTGTAGGATACATAAAGGCTTATCCTAAACTGTGCAGTTATGTTTAAAATAACGTGTTTCTCAGTGTGCAGTATGTCTGATGCTTTAGATTCTTTAAGATTCTGTTTAAGGATGATTGTCTCGACAAACTACAATGTAGAGATCAAGGGTTTCCATTTTCACAGTGCAATACAAAAAGTACAAACAAAAACGCACATGTACATCTGTATCCCTCAAATAATGTAGCCTTCATCCCATTTCACTAATTGCACATTATCAGTTTCGTTTTTTGAGGATGCGGAGGAGCAGACGTGAGGAGAAATGAGTCGAGGCAACAAGTTTTAAACAAAATGAGACACCCTCACCTCAGAGTGTCAGTTTAAAGCGACGTCAGTTATATGTGACGTGTGGCACAGCTGCATCACCTGTCCTTGTTTTATGATAACCTACCGCTGTGTTTCATGATCCGTTAGATGAGCAGATCAGTGTTCATGGTCATATATAGGATGTATTTTTACTTCTAATTCAAGTCACAACGCGGTAGAATGTGACGAGAATGTAGAGATGTCATTAGTTTTTATTTAGCACACATGCAGTTAAGTGTAAAATAGTCGTGGCACAGAGAAAAAGCGCTGTACAAATAAAGAGTGACATATATTAATATTATAGACAGACATTTGTCAGTCCTGCTGCTGACATATTGTGTATAATACTGCTTGTTATGCATCTTTTATTTAGAGGACATAGTGAGGATACAAGTGTGCATCTTTGCTTATATCTCTTCCACCAGCCTCCTCGATCCTTGAGATGCATTTTAGGAAATGAGACGTCCTTTGTTATGATGCACCAAGTCTGATTTCTGGGTCACGGCCTGGATGACTGAGGAGTTGAGGAGGCTGGAATTACTGAAATGAGATGAGATTTTCAGTTTACTTGTGTATGATTTTAAAATGTCTTACTTTGGCACCACCATGTGGAATAATGACACATTATGCAACACACAGGCTGCACTACTACAATATTATATAAAAATAATTTAAAGTAATAGTAGTAAAGCTCCTCAGCTCTGATGCTGAGAGCAGTTTGTTACTTTCACTCTTGGCATTCTGGTTTGCATTGTGGTTTACGTTTTGTATGTAACCCCTTCCAGACTTTGCTATATTTGCAGATTCTAATTGCAGTTTTTTGATATGCTGTTTGTTTCTACATGTATAATTTGAAGCCTGGAGCTTTGGGATCACTGAGCTTCTGGTAAACAAATTTCTCTCAGTGGGGAGAAACTGAACTGACGACGTCCTGTTTTTGTCTCAGCCTGAAACGTAAAACCAACTAAAATGAAAAGAAATGAAAGAAACACGTGGTGTAGAAAGTCAGCTACCTCTTTTTTTTTTTACCTTTCTTTTGGATCTTTTTTTTAACTTGATCTCACATGAAAGCCACACTCACCACCAAACCAAATGTTACAGCTCAGAGTTTCTGAGAACAAAACTAGGTTGAGAAGAGTCTGACCAAAACAAAGTCCTCGTGGTCTGGTTGAAAGGTGAGATGTCTGGGCATGTGCACATCTGTCTCCCCTTGTCTTTGATTCTCTATCTCATGTCCGTTACTTGTCCTTTCTCTTGAAATACGCAAAGATAGTGACTCATTCAGACACACACACATTTAGTTAAATGGCACTGCAGTGTGGTGGCATTCCACAACAGTGATTATCTACAGTCCCAATCATTTCAGTCTGCAGAGGCAGTGTGGGAAAACTTGAGGCTGTGGGGAGCAGACGGCACACGGCTACGAGAGCTTCTCAGGCAGGAACACGTTAAAAAGGTTTTAATGGCATCAAAAAATTCACCCCAGTTTCAACTCAAAGTACAGAAATTGGAAAAAGTTGGATAAAGGAAACCTTTAAAATGTTGTTACCTGGAAATCTTTTTAGGGGGACTGGCTCAACATTTTGAGGAGCATGTTTATTTTTTCTTTCAAAAACAAGACAAGAAGATCTTATCACTTCCTTGACCCGCAATGTTGAAGGAATGGAAAGAAAATACATTTTTCAGTGGTCATGCTGTTTGCCTTGTAATCAGTCATTTAAAGGGAGAGTTTTACACACAAATCAATGTCAAACAAGTTCACACAATGCTGATTAAGCCGAACATTAATCACCATGTTCATCTCTGTGTTTTGCAGTTTACTGAAGTTTTAAATCTGGTTTCTGTGGGAACATTTCCACACTGATGCACCAGACGTGACACATTATATGTCAACAAGAAGGGATTGGATTTCCAGTGCTGAAGAGGAAAGTAATCGACAGTGGACGGTCATTGAATAATTAGTCGTTGCTAGAAAGGACAGACAAGCTACGCACTGCAGGTTTAAATAGTTAAATGTGTTTGGAGGGGTTTGCTCCTTGAGGGCTTAACTTTTCTTGTTTAAATGTGTCTTAAAATAGTGGTTATAAAAGCAAACTGGTATGACGGATAAGGGTTTAGAAATATGTGGGACGTGATACCAAATGTTGTTGTTGGCCTGTGGGCACTTGTAGGTGCAGAGCTTCAGAGTGGAGGGATGTCGGCTTTGACAATCTTTGCTTTCATGTAAGAAGCAAGAGATAGAGCAGTTTGTGCGCAGATTGATTCAATTATTTCCTTTTGTAGCAGGTCCAAATTTGATTGAGGATGACCTGGAATGCTTGTGATCACAATTTGAATGAACATGAGCAGAAATACATCGAATGACCTGGTTGTAAAAGTGTGTTTATTGTATTTATTGTTCCACTTCTGCAAGGATACGAGGGTCTGCTTGATTTCATTAACACCCCGAGTCTGCAGGAGTCTGCACAGACCAGTCCTCAGACGTGAACATGTGGTGCAAAATCTATGTTGCTGACTGCGCTACAAGGTCAGGAGTGAACATGCTTGGATTACGTAGAGACGACTTACTGCCGTAGATTTAATATACAAGATAGACGTAGCCTCCGGGTCTGAAGAGTGATGCCAATGCTGATGTGCCTTACTGCTGCATTCATCCAAACAGCCAGCAGGGGGCGACTCATCTGGCTGTTAAAGAAAGTCCAATTGTAAGTCAATGGGAAAATTATCTTATTTCTGACTTAATCTGTTACCTCAGGAAATGTTTCCTAATGAGTTTATGGCCTCGGTTGCTAGTTTCAAGACTTTCTGAATACAGTGTGATGATCATGTTGTTAATTATCGTCCCATTTAGAGTAAAACAGACGCTAAAGTAGTGGTTGTTGTCGGGCTGGTGTTCTCAGGTTTGATCCACTGCTCAGACTAAACTTGAGGCTTCAAAGCAGTCATTTGCAAACCAACAGAGGATGTCTACAGCCATCTTTTGTATACTGTCTATGCCTACTGCACATTTATTAAATGAAATCCTCCATGTGGACTCTTAACAGACTAGAAAGTAGAAAAACAACAACTGTTCATACGAGGTGTCAACAGCTGTCCGTGTCTGCTTTAATGTGAACTATGGAAACTTCACAGTAATCTTAAACTTGCTGAAAGT